CATGCGTTATTATTAGTGTTTATGTTCACTGTTCTGTAGGAGTTTGTCTTTTGGCTCTTTCTTGAAAGCTTAAGATTCTTTGAGTGGCACATAACTACTTAAATGACTATGTATTACATCAAAAGGTGTAAATTAGGCTACACTGAAGTCAAAACTGAGGCTAAGAAGTTATCCCCAGGCCTTCTTTTAAAGCTAGACTATACTAAAAGACTTTCTGATACCAGAAAGTTATGCCATCAAGGGACATGCTGCTTCTCTCAGGGACASTATTGTGTGTCTCTAAGTGGTCATGATTTTCCAGGAAAGCAGCCTTTATCATGAGAAGGAGAAGAGCAGCCACCTTCTCCTCCCTGGCAGCACAGCGAGCTTGGAGAGCAGCTCCGTGAGGCTGCTGCCAGGCTGGATCCTGCAGCTAGGGACCTCCTGCTGCCGAAGCACCCAGCTGTTTTTCTTCCATACTTTTGAAAAGCCAAGGCCTAATCTTTCTAAGACAACAGGCAAGGGATTAGAAAGCTCTGTCCTACAGAAATGGCCTTGCTRTATGCAACCAGGGTTTTCATTATCAGTCTAGAACATGGAGGCCTTGCAGTATTTAGTAATCATGTCTGTGCTTGTTGTCAGCTATCAAAAAATATCATGCATTAGTTCTCACATCCTCATTTCTGTGAGCAAGTACTTTGTACAGAGATAAGTGCATCACCTACATTTCTCATGAMTCACAATGCATTATTATGCACTTCTGCTATGGAAGTGATATAGGTGTATATGAATTCACAGTATGTCAGAAATTTCACCAGTAATGTTCTGGGTAGCTTCCAGGTAATACAGTCTGAGATGCAAGCGAAACAGAAACAAAAGTGAAGAAAAGTGAACCAAGGTTATTGAAAATTGAACAATAGAAATATAWCAATTTCCAGGAAAATTTTCTTTTCTTTTTTTTTTTAAGAAGTACACTCCACCATCTCTTCACATTGTTGTGTGACATCTCTCCAACTACTGTCAATAGCTTTCATTTCAAGATAATACCAACTTCATTGGCCAGTGTTATTGCCAAATGCCTTTCAATATCCAATCTTTTCTCTCCCTTTTTGCATCTTCCCATGCATTTATTTGCACCCAACACACTTTTCAAAGGTCCACAGTTCCATATTTATATTTCAGATATTACTAATACAATGTAGAAAGAACATATTAGGTCAACATCTTAATTTAATCAGATGTGTTTGATATTTATTTTATCAAGTTATTCACAGTTCCCTATACAAGCCTGACAATCTGTCTGGTCTTGAAAAAAATTCCACTGTCATRGTGAATGAAACAGAAGAAACAAATTACTCAATTAGAAACAGAATTGTTATTCTTTCTAATGGCGAAAGTAGATTAGGCAATAAGTATAAGAATGATTTATATCTTCCATTTTTGCTTCCAAAATAACTATTACTACATTTTTTTAAGGAATGTCCTGTGCTAAAACTTATTTTGCTTGCTTTCTCAATAACATCTWATTTATTTATTGAGAAGCGTTTTTTATAGCTTGACTTTGCTTTCTTGCAAGGAACCTTCTTCTCTTTCATTTCTATTTTTTTTCATCCAAGGAAAAATTACTGCAAAAGAAAAAAAAAAAAAAAAAGATGGATCACAGCCCTATGAAAACTCTCTGCAATCTCTGAATTTGAAGAGGAGAAAATATCTCCTGATGTAATTTTCTTTTGATTCATTTTTTATCTCCTCCAACTGTCAAAAAAAAATCTGTTGCAGTCCAAGATTCTAATTGATTCTGTCATTTTGCCTACTCCGCAACAGGTAATCTGGGCAAGCTGACATGTAGCTCCAGATTTACAGCTTTGGATGCTTGTGACTTCCTTTTAATGAATCTTTGCATTATGCTGATTCTTTTCTAATTAGATATTCCACTTATTCTCATTTTCATCTAATTGAAATGCTATGCTAAAAATATAAATGTGATTTCAATTAATTTGTTTTATAAATTTATAAATGGATGCATAATAATTGAAATAAAGCCAAATAACAGTTTGTTCGTGTTATTTTTTTCTGCAGTTTAGTTTAGATATACAGATGATCAGGAAAAGATTTATTTGAATTTATAAGCAAGCAAATTTATCTCTATATTTGAGTAACTATCTCTGAGACAAACTAGATATATCGAAAATTTGCCCTCTTCTTGATGCTTTCAAGATTATGTCTATTTTGATTTCACCAGTTTTAAATGTGTGTTCCATGAGTGATTTTTTATGTCTGCCTCAGACAAATGGGTTTCATCACAATTTGCAGGTATGTTTGAAGTCTTTAATGGTGAATRTTACTGAAGAAAAGATTATGAAGACCTTACCTGAAGGGACTGAGCACTATAGATACCCTATGATCAGTTTAGCCCACATTTCTTTTAACAATGAGATGAAGAAATAGCATGAGAACGTTGTTTTCAAAAGGAGGAGAAACRTTAAGCCCAAGGATGCCCGGAAGAGCCAAGGTATGAGGACACAGTGCCTTTGGCTTGCTTCACCACACGTGAACTGTAATCACTCACTTTGTAGAAGCTCACTTGTTCCACTGAGTTAGGAATGGAGTCCGCCCACACGGCCATGACGTTTGGCCCATGATCTTTCCTTACAGCCACACCTAAGAGAAGCGCGCTAGGAATTTTGAAACGTGTTTATAGCCTTCTCATGGGGTTTTGCTGAGGAGGCGCTGGAGCTATAAAGATCACCCATGTCAAATACCAACAGCCTTTGACAAAAAGAAGTAGAGAATGTGTTCAGAGAAATAACCATACAATAGCAATAGAAATTGGTAATCCACCTAGCTATATGCACTGCTACAGGTTTATCCAGGAAAACACATCACAAATGTCTTCAGCTACAGCATAATCTTGTTTATCCTGGCCCGGCTGTAGCACTAGACTGCTGCACACTCATAGTCCAGAAACACTCATAGCAGCTGGGGCAAATGGCAAAGGTGACAGGTGAAAAAAGACTTAACTAGATTGTTATTCTATCCAGAACAAAATTCATTCTTCTTCACCATAGAACTTTTGCCCTAAATAGTCGTAGGTGAACCTTTCTCTTAAATGCTGCCTTATTTGACCGAAAGACAAGGCCATCCTTAAATTACATGAAGGTTTCTCACCTGCAAAGCTGTGTATGAGTTCTAGTTTTTTTGTTTGTTTCCAGTGAGTGAAATGATGGGTCATCTTTAGCAGCCTGTCACTTCTTTCCTCAATGTCTTGTGACTTTATTTGTTGTGGCCTTTATTTCTGTTAAACTGATGGAAAAATCCTGATGAATACTGTCATTCCTTGTACACATTAAGGATGTTTTGATATTGTACAGCCTTGAAAAAAAAACGGCTTTTTTGTTTTTTCTGTTTGTTTGGCCTTCCTATATTGCTGTATTCCAAACGGTACTCCCTTTAAAGGTAAGAGTCAGCTCACCCAGTCAAGTGAGTAACTGTTTGAAAGAATGATATAGTTGTTTAAAATTCATCTGTAGTCAATGTAAAGAGGATATTCTCGCTAGAGAGAAATTTCTGTCAGTATCATGAGAATCTTTATTAAGATGCATCACCTTCTGGGAGCATCTCTCTCCTAACACTGACTGCAGAAGGAACTTATACCACTAACTTAGACTAGCTGCCTAGCTATTACATGATTTGAGACATGACATTAGGATCATGACAATATAAATGATAGCATATCTTCTTTTATAATCTTTTTATCAACAGCCTGCTTTTTCTCCACAGGCAACAGAATAGTGCTGTTAATAAGTGATGACCTATTAACTAATAGGTGATGGCCTTGACTCATCTAGTTTAATATTACTGCTTATTAACATTTTTGGTGTTATCTTGAGGCAAGCTCTGCAACTCTTCTGAAAACTGTAGTCTTTTCTCATGAAACTTGGAAATAACTGCATATCAGTCCTGAATTTGTTGTCTGTCATTATCCACAAACTTTTCCAGGACTTGCTTTTGCTCTGAGGTCTGTAAGAACTAAACATTAGTGAGTAACTAGTAAAGAAAGTATTTTTTAAGAGACTGATGATTAAAATAGTGATGCTGATATTATTTCCAAACTTCCTTAATTTTCTGCTTATTTAAAATGCTGATATCTCTGAGGGGGTGGTATGAATCAATGTCCATGAAGTGACACCACTCATGTCCAGCTAATATCACAGGAGTCCTCACATCCGCTCAGGGAAGCAAAGCTACAGGACTTCATGCATGAAACTCCAGTGTAGAGATTTCTCAAAGGAAAGTTGCCTTTAGAGCCTTATAAAACTTCAGTCACATATTTACTCAAGTGGGAATTTCCCACAAGCGGGAAAACAACATAAGAACTATACAATGCATTATAATAAGCTTCGGGAAAAGTATTTTTATTATATATAGGGATTTATTAAAAAAAATACAACTTTTGGATTCTTTAAATACGAATTACTGAAGTCCTTTTGTTCATGTGAAAACACAGGCAACTCAAAGCTTAGAAGGATGCTGCCCTATGCACTTTGCTGGCAAGGGAACAGTCAGCTCTCTCAAGGCCAAAGACATCAGTGTCAGACTCAGCTTTCTGGCTCACTGTCCCTCGGCAGTGTTGCTGTAGGCATCAGCTCTGCAATATTGTTGTCCACTGCTAATGCTGAAGAGCTAGGCAGGGAGAGGGAAGCTGTCAGCTCTTAATACATGGACTAAAGGGTATATGATACCACTATAACCAATACCATGGCATAGTGGCCTTTCAGGTGGGTGGGCTCTGGCCTGGGGGCTAGGTATATATTGTGGGCTCCTCCCCAGCTCTCAATGGAAGGACAGAGGTCTCCGTATTACTCACAGCTTGCTAATCTGGCAGCGCCACGTCAGGCTCATAGGAAAGAGTAGGACAAAGACAGGAGACTTGTTCTGCCTGACTCACTCTTTTTGCCCAGCCCTCGTGTTTCATAATAAAGCCTGTGTGGCCACAGACACCTGGATCACAAACCTCCACAATGTGGACATGCTGTGGCATACATGCTCTGCTGCTTGTAACAGCTGCTACCCTGAATTCAGAGGCTGCCATCAGAGGGAAAAATACCGTCAGAGAAGATGTCTATCCTCCTCTGTGGGATTCTGTCCCTGAAAACCTTCTGGATTTCCCAGTAGAAGGCGACAAAATTGTCATCAACGCTTGGAACTATAGAGAACGTCTGGGAGCATACAAGACTTTGCTAAATGCTTCAGCCAAATATTTTTCTCCTTTTGGATCCCAAAATTTTGCTAATATTCTCTGGGGATTGGCATTGCAACATGGGTGGCAGTTTCATACAGGTATGAATTATGTCTTTAGGCAGTAGAAAAAACTACACTTTTGTCAGACCCCTTTAGGGTCACTGCTTCCAAACTTTCTGCTTTGCAAGCCCTCAGACAGTCTAAATTGTGACATTATCTGCTAAAATAATGATTTCAATGAGAATTTCTGAATTAGAGCAAACTTCTGCTTATTTGAACAATGCACCCTGACCTTTCCAATAGGAAAAGACATTGCAACCCATTTAACCGATTAGAATCAAGAAGGTTTGTGATTAAGAAATACTACTAGATTAAACAAAGACAGTAATATTTCAGTTTTCTGAAAACACTTCAAAAGATATTCTAGCTATTGAAGAATATTGAAGTTAAATCTTATGGCTTGCACTTTGCAACTTTGCAGTATTATTCTTCATTTGTTAACTGTTGGGTTTTTAGGTTTTTTTTAGTCTATTTGTTTCACTTTTGTTTCACTTTTGTTTTGTCTCACTTTTCACTCTTTTAGATGAATTTAGAAGTAGGCTTGTTATATTTTAAATATATATTATTAGAACAATGCATGCACTTTACCTCATATACATTTCTGGGTTTTTCTAATGAGCTTCAAATTCTATCARCTTATTCTACAAAAGCTGATTGCTGTCTGGGGCTTTCATCCTTGTCTGTTGATCTCCACTCACTGCTTCACATACAGTGAAGCTTTTCATTCAAAGCTGGAGTTGGCTAACTAATCAACCCTATTCTAGCAGCTAGAAGAGGAACAGAGATCAATAATCATCAATGCTTGTTGGAACTTGTGCTAGTACTGTGTGGTAAATCGTTCGACCTACCTATAAGCAAATGTATTTCTCCACTTGCTCTGTTTACTGGCAACAATCCAAAGTTTTTTGAGGTGGTGGTTTGGCTATATGTTTGTTTGTAGAAAGAGACTCTGCAGYTGGTGAAGGAAAGCTCCTGGTATGGAAAACAATTGTTACCAAAAAAGAGGGAAAGAAGGTAGAGTAAGCAAAGTCCAAGAAGACAACTAGCTGACAGAGAGCAGCAGGAGAAGTATTTTTGGAGTTTAAGTAAGCTTTTACCCTACCCTTCTTTATATATGGGATGCAGCAGAAAAGTTGACCCAGCACATGGTAAGGACAAAGAGACTAATTGCAGAAGCTGCACTAGAAYGTGGACCTGCAGTGAACAATCTGTTTAGGTAGTGTGGTCTCATCTCCTATAGTTCTGAGAAAGAAGCTTAGGAAAGAAAGAAATCTGGACTATCTTCAGTGGAATGATTTACTTCTTTCAGATCTTAGCAGAGGATGATCTGATGAAAGTATGACAAGATAATAAAGGCCATCAGAGATTTACAGTCATGGTAACTTGATGCAAGCRAAATTTCAGTATTCGCAAGCAGGAAGGGGCAAAAGCCTTTTCTTGATGAACTGATGCCTGCTGGACATGAGGGGTGCAAGACTTCGAGACAGAGTTTAACATAGCTGAAATTGAAAAGTATGTTGAAGTATAAGTGGATAAAGAGGATAAAAAGATGTGGATAAGTGGATAAAAAGATAAAATTTTGGCATATGTAGTAGTGAGGCTAGTAGTTTCTTATACCTAATTCAAGTAGGCAACCTGCTTAGAATAGTGAGAAGCGACTGATGTATTTGTGTATCAACATAATGAGCTTGGACAATCAACTTGAAAGACTTGAATTCATAGTGCAGGACAACAGAGCACCCTCAGAAACCAAGTGAAATGTGTTGCATTCACAGTTCTCTCTCATTATGAAAGTTATGTTGCTGAGAAAATATGAAAATTAAAGGTATAAAAAAGAGTATCTTAATGATGTGCTAGACAGTAAAGAATAAAGGATAGYGTGGATAGAATCAGGAAAGATCCAAATATTTAGGAAAATACAATAGGAAGATGGTGGAATCTTCTCTACAACCAAAGTTGGATTTGAGTAAGAACCACTATGCTTACAATGCTACCAAAGAAAGTAATCCAAAGAAAGTAATGCCAGATAATCCTAAGTTATTATGTAAAATTCTGACTTTCTCCATACAGAATTGAGAATAAGTATTGCTGTCCTCAGATACTTCTGMATCATAGAACGGTTGAGGTTGGAAGGGACCTCTGGAGATTATCTAGTCCAATGTCCCTGCTCAAGCAGGGTCACATACAACATGTTGCCCAGGTTCATATCCAAAGGAGGGTTGAATTCTAGTTTCCTCCTSGAGAAGGAGACTTCACAAACTCTCTGGGCAGCCTGTTTCAGTGCATTTGTCACTTTCCTCACAGAAGAGATTTTCCAGTCACCTAATTATCTTCACAGCCGTACACTAGACTCCCTCCAGTAGTTCCACATTTCTCATGTACTGGGGAGCCCTAGAGTACTGGGCACAGTACTCTAGATGTGACCTCTCCAGTGCTGAGTAGAGGAGGGGGATCACCTCCCTCCATCTGCTGGTAATGCCCTTTCTAGTGCAACCCAAAATAACGTTGGTCTTCTTGGCCACAAGAGTCCATTGCTAGATCGTGGAAGACTGGTTGTTCACCAAGACTCTCAAATCCTTCTCTGCCAATCTGCTTTCCATCAGGTCAGGTCCGAACCTGTACTAGTGCATGGAGTGTAAGATTCTMCCTAGGTGCAAGATCTTGTATTTCATTGAACTTTATGAGGTTCCTCTCCATCCAAATTTCCAGACTGTCCAGCKCTCTCTGAAGCACAGTTTTCTGGTGTATCAGCCACTCTTCCCAGTCTTGGATCATCAGCAAATTTGCTGAGGGTGCACTCTGTCCTTTCATCCGGGTCACTGATGAAGAAATTGATCAAGACTGGATATGGACCCCTGAGGTACAGTGCTGGTCGCAGGCCTCCAACTAGACTTTGGTGAGCCAGCTAGCTGATCATAATCCTCGGAGGAGCCCACAGATTTGCCATTGTTAGGTTTGCCTAAATGATCTTTAGCACAATCTTCCTCAAATAAAGGAAATTCACTTCAAGATTTGTCTCCACAGTCTTGGATTTCTGAGGGCTGGCCTTAGTAAARGTGACACTCAATAACTCTTCTTTCTCTGTATACTCTGTATCACCAGGACTCACCACATTCATCAGTGGACCCACATTTTCCCTAGCCTTCCTTTTGCTACTGATGTATTTGAAGAAGTCCTTCTTCTTGTCCTTAACATTCTTTGTCATATTTAATTATAAGTGAGTCTTAACCTTCCTCATTATATCTCAATATTGTATCTGATATCATTCCTATATTCCTCCCAAATGACTTCTCTCTTTTTTTTCCACATTCTGTATGCTTCCYTCTTCTGTTTGAGTTTTGCTAGGAACTCTTTGTTCATCTATTCAGGTCTTCTGCCCACTTTACCTGACTTTTTAGTCAGAAGGATGTACCAACCTTGAGCTTTGAGAAAGTGATGCTTTCATACTCTCTTGGACCACCCCTCTTCCTTCTAGGGCCCTAGCCCATGGGATTCTTTCAAGTAGGTCCCTGAAGAGGCCAAAATTTGCTCTCCTGAAGTCTATGGTTACAATCCTGCTTACTACCCTGCTTCTTTCTCACAAGATCCCGAACTCCAGCATCTCATGCTCACTGCAGGCAAGGTGGCCCCCAACTTCCACATCTCCAACCACTCCTTCTTTATTTGTTAGTACAAGTTCCAGCAGCATACCTCAATGACATCACCTGTGGCAAGAAGTTGTCATCAATGCTGTACAGGARCCTACTGGACTGTTTGTGCCTACCTGTGTTATCTTTCCAGCAGGTATCAGGGTAGCTGAAGATCCCAAGGGGAACCAGGACCTATGATCATGATGCTACTTCCAGCTGTCTACTGAACACAAAAAAAAAAAAAAGTGTGAAGGGGAAAAAAAAAAAAAAAAGGTTTAGAATCCTTAGAAATATCAATCAAAAAAAGAAGTGCATTTCTCTCTAGCACAAGCTCCTGCTCTCAGTGTTTTTCTACTGAAAGAATTTGTGCTTGATCAGCTAGCACSCCCCAGCCTACAAGCTCCATCCAGTCAGCTGGGGAGGATAATTAGGAAAATTTGTRTGCACATGATCCACAATCATCTCTTCACCCTAAGGAAACAGTATCAGGTGTCTTACCACAAATGCTGGTTGTTAAAAATGGCATGAAGGATAGTTCTGATATGACATGAATGGCAATGACTGTATTCAGCTTAGTCATCAGAGGGTATGTGTTCTTCAGGGTGGTTTGTGAGTGTCTGGATCAGCTCATGTTAGTAGACCTGATCATGTCATTGCATGCCATGAACTGCATGTCATTAACCAGGCTTCCTGACTCACTACATAAATACTGACATGTCTACATTATGTACATACCTAAGTACTTTGATGAGTTAAGCTATTTCTTCATGTAATGTAGAATCATAGAATCATTGTGGCTGGAAAAGACCTTCAGGATCATCAGATCCAAATGTAAATCCATCACCACCATGCCTGCTAAACCATAACCTTAAGTTCCTCTTCTAGATGTTTCTCGAAYACTACCAGGGATGGTGASTCTACTGCWTCCTGGAAGAAGGGCAGCCTGTTCCAATGCTTCATCAATCTTTCCTTAAAGTTAAATGTCTTTACTTTTCTTCATGTGAAATATCTTGAATGTTTGCAAGAACATAGATGCTTGTAAATTTTTCTAACCAGATACAATAATGTTTGCTTGTATTTTTTACATTAAAAGTCTTTTTGTATGCATGGTTAAACTGGAAGGGATTCTGTATCATATCAGTCTGTTAGGTGTAGCAATTACCCTCACATTTAATTTATGATATTCTGCTCGTTATATTATCGGCTTTACCTCTATCAAAAATGTTTTAGTTTTGCATGTGGTTATGTCTGTATGCACATCTGTATTTATATCTCTATAAAAATATCAGATCGTTAAGTTCTACTTTCAGACAGCTTCATAAACACTCAGAATACTTTTTCAGTGAGCAGTAAATTGAACTGTAAAACACAGTCAGATTTCTATGCACTGTATGAAGTACTGACTGAGAAATTCAGCTACTGTAAGAACAGTAGTRTATGAAGCAGAACAACAGCATTTGTTTTGCTTCTCTGAGCAAAATTCTGCATGCTTTACTTATATAAGTTCTTTTCTTTAGGTCTCAGAGGGCTTGTTACATGAAAAAAATTAAGCAGCATTTGGCATGTTATTTCATTTGATTCAGGCAGATTAGCAGATCCTTCCAGTGTGACTTCCTGTGGCTACCAAGCTGGAGACCTTCTGTGCATATCTATAAGAAGCTGGTGGGCCTGTAAGTATATGCTGTTACACTGCTCTTCTCCAAAATAYGGAATTAATGTCCCAGGTGGCAATTTAGAATCTTTCATCCACTTGATCTTCTATATTAAAAATTAATTTCAGTGTTACATAACCTTCCATTAAAAAAATTGAGCCTTGCACCTAAGTATGACTAAGTAAATTAAAACTAACTGACCTTGATAACTTTTCTGAAAAAAGAGCCTAAATAGATGTTTGTATTTCAAAAAAGCATGAAAAAAAAGTGGGAAATACCATGATAGGTACCTATATTTGTAGACATTTGTAGAGATTATGTTTTTCAATCACTCCATGCCAGATTTCACAGAATCACAGAATGGTTGAGGTTGGAGGGGACCTCTAGAGATCATCTGGTCCTACTGCCTTGCTCAACCAGGCACACCTAGAGCACGTGGCACAGGATTGTACCAGGCAGGTTCTAAATATCTCCAAAGAAGGAGACTCCAGATTTGTTCAACARTGTTTAACCATGGTACTTTAAACTCAAACTTAGTGTAAGAATGTCAAACAGGAACTTTAGTGGTTCTTGTATCATCCTTGATAGCATGTATATGATCAGACTTTTCAGCCTTCATTTGTATCTTCACGGTTGACTGCAAAAGGGAAAACAAAGGGACACATTATGACCATGGCACCCAAACAACTTCATTATCTTCATTATGCTGATAGCATTTATCCACTGGATTTTCAAATATCCATATGAAACTTGAGCTATAAGATGCACAGGCTATAAGATAATTTATGCTCATTTTAATACCATCTTTAAATTTCTAGTGAGCTGAAATTGTACTAAACATCTCACATTATCCCAATAAGTAGCAAGAGGCTGAAGACAGACAGAGAGAGAAATGAGCTTAAAGATCAGATTTCCCAGTGTCACTCCCAGTGACATTTTCAACGCTTCAAAAATATACATCCAACTAATTCACTCAGTCCTTCTGAAATAGAAACATCCAAACTTCTTGGATAGTTTTGATAATTCAGCTCATTCATAGGTGTCCCTACTGAACTGGAGGGGCCAAGTAACARTTTTTGATAGTCTACACAGTTTCCTGTATCATGAAGCATATCAGCATTTTAATAGCAAAAATATATCTGTGATGGAACTGGAGAATGGGCCTATTCATTACACCTAATCAAATATTAAGCTTTATAGGGGCCAATGTTTTCACAAAAATGGTGATGATAATTTTATAATCTTTGCTCTGTACAACTCATGGGTATCCTTATATCATGCACGAAGGTAGTCTAAGGGATAGCAGTTTTAGTATCTATAGAAAAAGCACCAACAGTACAACATGCTCTGTCTCAAGGGCCTTATATTTGCTCTAATAAGAAACCTGACAGTTGAAACTGCCAACTAAGGATTTTAATGTTCWTAATGTTACTTCTTAATGTTAATGGTTTTAATGATCTTCTAATAAYCTTATTTCCCTCTGCTATTTTTTACAGTAGGTACCTATATGGAAGTAGACTACTCAAACAACAATGCGTTGTTGTTTGATTTCCACAGARCTGGTCTTACAAAACGACATTGCGAACTGTGTTGTTGTGTTGTTGAGCTCAAGGAGAAAACATAAAGGACAATTATTGCCTATGCCCAAACTGAGTTGTACATTATAGCCACTCTGAATGGAAATCTTCTAAATGCTTTTGTTGCACTTTTCAAAACTGAATGAACACATTATTTTAAAAAATCTACAATTTCTATTTTTTAAAATCTGAGTGAAAGTCAATATTTTTTAGACTCTCTTCTATTTTCTTTCTTTTTCTGAAACTGGAACTCAGACCCTTTTCGATTCTTTTCTCTACTTTTTCAGAGATGGAACTGACAGGTAGGATGGAAAAAAAAAAGATAATCCTGACATAGCTTACGATCAATACTTCTATATAAAGGCAATAGCATGACAAAAATCTCTTTTTAAGTAAGTAAGCCTTATATCAGTCTTTTATTTTCCATATTCTTTCTCTTCCTAGAGGACAACTGCCCCTCTTTTAAGCTCTAGYGCTTTTCCCTCTATTACCCCTGTTCCTCGTTGCCTTTGCTTCCCTACTCAGACTCTCTTGTTATACGGTCTCTTTCTTCACAAGACCCGCTGGCGAGCTGCCATAAACAACATACTTACCCTCATTGCCACACGGCTACRTTGTTGTAGAGGCTGCATTAAGCTTCAGGCAGTGAGCCCAAAATTAAATATATATATCTTCATGCGATCAAAGATGTAAGCAAATTAAATATGTAAATTTACAGTACAGCCAAGCGACATGGCAATACTTGGTGCAATCATTCAGTTTGATTTCCTGTCTCTGAGGGTGGCGAGCACTAGATCCTCCAAGGAAAGATGTCTCAGGCTGTGATTGAGTAAGAACAGTCATTGCTTACAGCTGCGCCAGGTGACCTCCCTGGAGCAGAAACTTCCTCTAATTCCTTAGTGTTTGCATTCCTGTTCCTCACTTGCTTCCAAAAACAATGCTATCACCTGACACTGATTTTGCTGCCTCCAGAATATTTATAAACTCAGAAGCCCTGCAGAAGTCTTGCAGAGCATGCAGAAATGTTATGCACTGCTCTAAAGACATGCATGAGTGCTTTTGATGGGCATTTAGGGCAGTCCTCTCTAGCCCATGTAGTCATACCAAGATGGGAATGAAACTCAACCAGGAGTTGGCATTTAATATTCCCTGAGGTGTGAGACATCACAAGACTGCTGCCTAAGAAGTTTGGTCTCTTCCTCCAGAATTGTATTTCTTTTTTGTATTATTTTCTGTTTCATGAGTCCCCAGACAGGCATAAATACATAATGTAGGCAGGCACTTTTAAARGAACACAAATATTTTGCAACGTGAAGTCCGCATTTCAACACTTGTCATGAAAATAGTGAACAAGAAGCAAGACTTGGCTTAGCAATGATGCCCAGCTAAAGAGTAGCTTTGGTCCTGGGACATTTGTTAATGTACATTTGGTCTAAAGCTACTTATACAAAGCTACTAGAGAGCAGCTTTCATCCTGAGACATTTGTTAATGTAATGGACTTAACTCATGCAAGGTTATTCATGAGCGAAATAGAAAGGAAAGTTATAAATCATATCTAAATCAATATAAATGCCACCATTAGTGCATTCCAGTAAAAATGTCCCTGCTGCTGAACACAGTTGTGCCAGCAGCAATTTGAAAGACTTGCATTTTATATTAGGGAATGATTAGATTTTTGCTTGTTTTTTAATTTGCTTGTGGTTAACATCTCCTCTTTCTTAATTATTGTTATAGGTATGAATTACTACCTGTCTATGATACCCTTTTTGGGTGCAGTGGAAGCTGGCCTTTTTGGAGAGTTGCCATATGAAATAGAGATAATACCACCAGAGGAGCTAAGAGAGGATTTTTGTTATAGTGTTGCTGACTGCCGTTCTCGCATTCCCAAGCTCATGGATGAGTGGAAGGCCTATTTTGAAGTAAACAATTTTATTTTTATATTTTGCAGGAAATTAAGCCAGCATATTACTTTAAAATTATTATGATTGTTTATAAGATTCAGAGGGCTTTATTTGCTGTCAGTAGTAACATGATACATAAGTAATAAGCAGGAAAAATGAAAAGCACTACATAAAGTGAAGCAGAGATAAGAAGTCTAGGATTTTTGCAGGCTACAGATTTGTTCCTTCCTTTCAAAATAATTCTATACTTTTGATTGTGCTCCCAAAAGCTGTTGTCTTAACAGTTAAGCTTGTAATGTGTTAGTGCTTATACCAGCAATGCAAGATAAGCATGTGAGACAGACTATTACCCTTGAAAAATGAAATGATGTTTTACAGCATCTTTTATTCTTCCTAACATCTAAAAAAAAATTAAATATAAACCCTTCTGGGTTTAAGAGATTATAAAGGAAGATGGGATCTATGACTATATCTGTTTTTATCCGTTTTGTTGTTTCTTCTTCCTTAACTAGGAAGTTGAGAAAGTATAAAAGGTCTTCTACTTTAATAAACTTACTGACAGCCATTAGGAGTCAGTTATTTTCTGAAAATCTTGATTACTTGCAGCTTAAAGASTACAAAAAGTATTTCAAGGAATCCAGCTATTGCAGCATGAAAGTTTCCATGACACTCAGACAGAAAATTTCACTGAATTATTGCAACAGATCATTTAGCCTAAATCACATTACTTGGTCAGTCAAAAGCAAAGAAGTGCAAATTCTCTTAACTTCAATGGGGATATGCATTTACTTTGGACCTCCATGTTGATCAACTTTTATCTCAAAACCAAGTACAGCTATTACTTAGAATGTGAAAGCAACCCATTCGGTCTACTGAGAATCAATTTTATTCAGCTTGCAAACTGACCATTTTGTGAACTATGCACACAATCCAAAATCAGATTTTGARAAAAAAGAACACTTTTTTTCTGACTTCTCTCCCCTTTGCTGTAGTATCTGTTATCTACAGACCAAAAAGCTGAGATCCCTACAACAGAATCCTCCTTCAGCCTGGATGATGCCCTCCATCACATGTGGAAGGCACACGTGGCCTCCATTGCTCATGCTTTACCTAAGTTCCAGGAGAGGTAAGAGAATCAGATCCATGGACAAAAGGAACCTTCACCACCTCTTTGCCTGTTGATAAGGATAATATTTGAGTAAAGTCAATATGTGCTTTCTTAAGCTCTGCCTTTTGGCTCTCTTGGAGCCAAGATCTACATGGCAGTAAGAGTTTTATCCCCTGCATTGCTAACTGTCCAGGCTGACACCAGCAGGCCATGCCGTGCTTAAATATAAGATGCTATGCACTCTCTGGGATCTGGGATTCAGGCCATAAACTCTGTCTAATCTGGCCTAGAGGCAATGATGCCTCTAAGTATAAAAGCCTGAAGGTGAGTTTAAGACACTGTGACATTGAGACTGCTCAGAATGTTATAATGAATAAATATTTCCAGCRTAAATGGTAGACTAATAAGTTCTATGTTTGATTGCAATTATCTGCTACATTTTCCTTTTGATTTATTTCAGATTAATATATCTCTCTGATCCAGAAGCAAATTTTGGAGAAGACTGGGCTAATGGTGTAGATTTCATTGCAGCAACACACTTCTCTACAGATTTGTGGAATACACACCACTTCCAGGCTTTCCTGCCTCAGAGGATGCTTGTTGAAGGGGATGTTATCCCATTCATCCATGACTTCAGTCCACAACAAAACAAAGTCTTGTTTTCACTGAGTGCTCTTTACAATACAAATAAATTAACAGGTATGAGTCTGATCAATATATATCCATAGTTCATATATTTTATATCTTATTTTCTSTAAACTTCTCTTGAAATGATCATACTGACCTTCAATATAAAATAGTATAATCACTTCCTAGATGCTAGTGATAGCATAGTACAATAAAAACAAAATCATAACACACCAAAAGCATCTTGAGGCAAAACTCATGAAATGAATTTTTCACACAAGAAGATTTCATGAGTGAAATGCATCATTTGCTTGAGCAGTTGACCTAACTTTTTTTCTTCAGATTTAAAAAAAAAAATTTCCATTTCTCCAGATAAATCTGAAACCCACTAAGGCTGTAAATTAAGTTGTTAGATCAGCTGGAATCATTAGAAAAAATAGACAGTCATGAACAACAGTTTGTGTGCCCAGAAGTATTCTCTATTTTTTCTTCTCCCAGTCCAAACATAATAAMCAAATATAATCTGTTTCAGCAAACTATTTTGTTAGACAATCTTGGCTGCATCAGTTTATTCAAAATAAGTTGTGCATCACCATCCAGTGGTGACATGCAGAACTACAGATTTCTGTGGCTTGAGTTCATTCTTTCATTCAACTTCAGTTTATTCAGATACCGCCTTTTTCCCCTCCTTTATGAAGGATTTTTTTTTGTATCTTTAAGTGAAAATATAATATAGGATTTCTACATTATAAAATGATTATCCATAGCCGTGACTTTTGTTTTGTAATCTTTTTCTTCTGCCTATACATTTCAGTGAAATGTCTCATGCTTAATGTATTTCCTAGTAGACAAAACCCAATTAATGAAGCTATTAAATGTTACAAAAGACCATCCTWACACTCAGAGTGCTTCCCTTACACCTTACACAAAAAGCGAAGGAAGCCTCACAGTCTGATCAAGGCAGCTTTAGAGCTTTGCCCCATGCCGGCTTTCTATATCTATGTCAGCTCTCCCATCATGCAGGCTTCCTATAGCTATCTCCAGTATCCATCCCCTTGGTGAGAGGGGGAGAAAGGCATGATCAGCAAGCAGAGACACCAATACATCAGAGCATGGGTAAGTGAGGACCAGAGCACAAAGACAGCAGTGGAAAGAGGGAGGAAAAATAGCATATATGCAGAAGACAACAGTAGGAAGAGAAGAATGGAGAACTTTCATATGTGTGCAGGCCATGAATAACGAAGTCAGAGGCTGGAAACGCTAGCCAGGGATTTCCTGGTCCTTCTGTGAAGGGATGTAAATACCTCCTAGTTAGTWAATGCCTATTAACTCAGCTCAAAGACTGCTTTGCACATCAGAAACAGAGCTTCCGACTGTATTTGGCTTGAGTTTGGGTCCAACATCTGAGCGGGGAACTGAAATGCTAGGTCTCATTGTAGTAACACTCATGTGTGATAAAACCTGACATCCTGCTTTAGTATTCAGCTGCTTCAAAGTTTCAAACACATTCTCTGAGATGTGGAGTGCTCTTCTGGTGCTGGAAACTTCAGTAATAAATAGAGTACCTCACAGGATGGGACCTTGTCCAAAACAGTGACATTTGATTTCTCGATTCAATACTCCTTATTTTCTCTACCCCTGCCTCTCTACATCTAGAATAGCGCTGCGCTCAGACAGTATTCTGCTACTTCTAAAATCTCTTGGGTGACAGAGACAGAAGCTTTATTTTTGATGCTCTGCCCCTCACTGATCTGCCAAGGGGAAAGGGCAGAAGCTTTGTTGTCCTGGACTTCTCCTACTGTTCTCACATGATTGCCTGGAGCAGTACAGGTATGTGGCTGCTAGGATAGGGAAGAGGGATATTTGCAGCCTTTTTCTCTTAACTCTTCAGCTCCCTGGTAAAATCCTGTGAGAATGAAACTGGCAGAAGCTTCTTTTTCAGGAGACGGATTAACTCCTCTTTGCTTTCTAGTGGACTTTCAGATTTCCTCTGTGGCCTCCTTGTTCATCATAAAGATCACTATGGACAGCAGAGGAGGACAGGCAGTGAATGTCTTGTAAGCTGACAGTACTAATACTAGACTGGCCAGGTGTACTTGCACAGGGAGTGACCTCTTATAGCCTTGATGGAGGAATTAGGATCATTTGCCTCCTTAGCCTGAGGCCTTAGCTGGACAGGAGCACAAAACCTGGGCCGATTTACAGCAGAAGGCAACAAAGCACATGGTTGTAAATAACAGGCTAGTGAGCTCTGCACAATTGCAGAACAAGACCCGAGCATCTGTCTTCAATGATTTTGACTCTCCATGCTGATGAAAAGAGAGCAAACCCATCTCTCAATCAATACCAAGGGTCCTGAGCTGAATGGATGGTCTGTGTCTACGGACATTCTTGTAGGCAATTATTATCCCCTCAGTCTGTCTCAGCTTTGTCCCCACTTTGCTGTCCACAGCAGTAGTGGATGTTTGCTACATCTCCTGTGTGCTGCAAGCTTTGTGTTGTGTGTGCATATGCTTTGTGTTAATTTGACAGTGTCACGTTGTGTCTCTTTCCAAGGAGGATTGCTGCTGAAACTCTGGAGAAAGGCTATGTCTACCGAAGCAGGAAGGGAACTGGGACGAAAAATGATTGAAGACTTGGTTGCAAGCCAGGAATTTAACCCAATGGAAATATATGATGATGTGAAGGGAGGTGATCTGGCAGCACCCAGTTTCTTGACAAAAAACAGCATCAGTATTGATTGATTTAATCTTTTAACAGCAATGAATCTGGTAATCTGGCCTTGATAATTTCATAGAGCAGGATTTAATGAGGAGCCATATGTGCTTTGCTCTCCTATTGGATCAACATTTCTATCCTTAATTTTCCTAATTAGCTCCTGACTTCATTCTTTTTCTGATAAATAAAATACTTCACATAATATCTGACTTTATTAGCTATTTGAACTTTTTATATCATCTGTCATTACTGGGGACAAAATTAAATATAGGCAAACTATGTTTTGTTTCAGACTGTTTTTCCCCTGTATACAAGGATCCCACCACATATGCAATTTCTCATGTTCCTGATAGTCTAACAAATAATCATCCAGTACATTTATTTGAAACAAGGATTAAAAACACATGTCATGACATTTTTCTAGCAGTTGTTATTTTGCAGGACAGCAGCAATCAACTTTGAAAATTCTCAAATCAAGTACTTCAATACAGACGGATTCTATCTATAGTGCTCTACACCAAGAAAGTACCTAAGCCTGTAGAGTTAAGTCAATCCAAAGAAGTCCTGAATCCAATAATATTATTCCACAGCAGCTGTACCAGCATTTAATTCATTTCACTTACTCGTAAGTGAAAGTTCATGTTATGAAGTTATGAAGTTCATAAATGAACTTCAGAAGAAGTCCCGAATTATTAGCTGCATACCTCGTAAGTAAAAGGAAAAGAAAACCATTTGCATCTTTCTGCCCCATTTTCTGAGTTTTATTGGTCCTCCATCCTAAAACTGTTAGATATTTACACTGGAAATTAAGAAATAATTACCAAGACATTCAGCAGTTAAGTACTATTTTGTCCTTTAATGTCCCAGGACAAAGATTTCAATTATTCATTGTCATTTTATAGATAAATTCTTAATGTATCATCATTAGCTAATAATTTTCAAAGGAAATAAGTTAATAAGGTCCAAGAAAATGTGGGAGTTTTTACCTTAATTACCTGGTTCATAGATCAGAGTAATTATATATCAACAGACTTTAGGTATAATCTAAAAGTAATTACTGCAGCTGCCAGATGTTAAAATATTAACTTAATTGTGCTCCAGAAAAGTTTGAAATAATTTTTGACCTTTTCTGTGGTTAACTTAGATTTAACCTTAGATGGACTTTGAGAAAACAATAAGCCCCTAACACAAACACTGACAACAAAGCTATACTGATGCTCTTGAGAGGATATTTCCAAAGCACATTTTAACAAGCTAATGCTTCCTTATACAAATTTAGGACAACATTATGAAACAATTTAATTACTCTGAAAAAAGAGCTGTCTTTCTTAACACTGGGCACATACTGATTTCAGGCACCGTGTCTTTCCTGGTACAACATGCCAGTCAGCTAAGGAAAAGCTAAGGAAAAGCTTTAGGAATTGAGCACCAGTCATGACTGGAAGGCTGAGCCATACAGAAAAGTCTATGCAGACCACAGGATGGTGGCTTCAAACAAGCACAGCAGATCCAGGTATCCTAAAATAGGGTAGATATGGCTTAGTATGAAAACATACTATGGGTGTAAGAAATTAGGCAGAGAGAAAAGCACCAGGAGAAGGCAGTACGGTGGGRTGTCTAAGGGAACAGCACCTGCAAAATGAGGCAAGTTTGCTTACTTTGTGTTAGTTTGGGGCAGGGGGGTTAAAGCCTGCTCTTCTGTTTTTCAAATGCACAATCTCTTTGCTGCCTGCTTCTAAGAAAGACCACTTTCTATTTCACAGATCCGTAGCTAGAAAAAAACAAAAATGCAACTGTCAGCAGAAAGCCAGGAAGTTAAACTGTATTATACATTCGCAAATAGTGAACCTAAAGGAATTGAAACAAAAAACCTCAGGAGGGAAGGTTAAAAATCAGTACATGCTTAAAAAAAAAGGGGAAAAAAAGCAACTTGGGTAAAAATAACCTAAAAAAGAGTCACTTGGAAAGTTTTGTCAATAGCACTCAACTCTCCTACCATAGCTGCATACATCTGATGGGGGAATCACTGTCTTCTCCTGCTGCTTCTAGGCTGCTTGCCTAGAAGCTCATCCTGGTAGGTCATCTAGGCTCATTTTAGGCAGATCTGCTCCTGATCTCTCAAAGACATGCAGTTTCTAGCCCCTCTCCTACAGGAGTATTCTCCTTTCCGAGGAAGGGCTAGAGGACCATGGGGGAGATCTTGTCCTTGTCTATCCATTTGAAACAAGTGTTATATTTAACTCCTCCTCCAAACTGACATGTTCTTTAATAAACAATGTTACAAATATATTTGGCATACGGTAAGGACTAAATTCATAAGTGATTGTAGCTTGTTAGTTTCACAGAATCACAGAAACACAGAATCACAGAAACACAAAATCACAGAATCACAGAATCATAGAATGGCTGAAGGGACCTCTACACATCATCTAGTTCAACTTTCCTGCTCAAGCAGGGACACCTAGAACACAGGGTGGCAACCAGGAGGGTTTTGAAGACCTCCAGAGAAGCAGACTCCACAACCTCCCTGGGCAGCCTGTGCCAGGGCTCTGTCACCCTTACAGGAAAGAAGTTCTTCCTCACATGGAGAGGGAACTTCCTGTGTTGTAGCTTGCACCCATTGCCCCTTGTCCTGTCACTGACCACCAATGAGAAGAGCTTGGCCCCTTCTTCCCTGCATTCTCCCTTCATGAACTTATACATGTTAATCATATTCCCTCTCAGCCTTCTCTTCTCCAGGCTAAACAGGCCCAACTCAGTCTCTCCTCATACGAGAGATGTTCCCGTTCCTTATTCATCTTTGTTACCCTTAGCTAGACCCTCTCTAGGAGCTCCACATCCCTCTTATACTGGGGAGCCCAGAACTGCACCCAGTACTCCAGGTGCGGCCTCACTAGAACTGATAGTTTAYCCTTCTCCTTTTCTAGGAAAGCTTCACAGGCCTGTGAGTGAGCACATACCAGTAGGCAATTCTCAGGTTTCTTAGGCATCAAGACATAGATAGGGGTCACAGAACCTATGTGCATGAGCATCATTAGCAGAAAGACATGAAACAATCTTTCTTTCTATTAGAAATTGGGTTCCTGGATTTCCCTTTCCCTATAATCTTTAATCTATGCAGAATTATTTAGGCACTCTTCCCTTTCAACCTATGTTCTCTAAAGCAAAATTAAAGGAAGCTTGGAACCTTCCTTGCTACTGGAAGGAAGCTTTTTCTTCCAATAGGAAAAAKCACTTATGTCCAGACCTGGTGGGTATGGAAGAAGAGCAAAGGTATTCTTGCCCAGAGTGATCTTTAACCCGGCAGTTAGGAGGTCTTGCTGGAAAGCAGCAGGAGATGTAGATTTGGACCCTCCCACGCAGAAAACAAAGCATTTGTAGACTTTTATACGGTAGCATCCTTTCGCATTTGGATAAGTATTTTAGCAGTTGAGGCACAACATAAAAATATTCATTTTGAGTACAGGGTATGTTGACTGGCTGCCTTCAGCAGCATGTTCTGAGCAGCAGCATTCTTGCTGCTGAGTGGGAAGAGATGAAAGACACATTCTTTTTGCAATATTTCTGTCCTCTCAGCAGTTCCAGGAACAGCATGTAGCCTATTTTGGATCCCATGTTGAGTCTCCATACACCATGTGCAAAGAGCAGGCACCACAGAAAGGCCTGAAATGTGCTCCAGCTTAATATCTGAAGAAAGATCTCTGTTTGATACCACCTCTCCCACTGCCATTTCATTTTCACAGTGACCCTGGACATCTGAATGCTTGCTGTGCCCTGTTCTCGTTAAGTTTGCAGCCCAGATCCACAAGGTGTTTGACTCATAATACCCATCACTTTCAATAGAATTTAAGAATTTGAAAATGTCTSTAGATCTTTTCTAACCTTCTGTGCTAGAGATGAGACAAAACAGGCCACAAGGTGCTGCATTACATGAAGTGTCACACTACTCCAGGTAAGGGCTGGTAAAGATTTTGAAAAAAAACTAGAGCTTTCCAGCCTGGCAGCAGCTGGGAATTGCAGCTTATTCTTCAGATGGGAATTGTAGCTTATGCTTGGAAGTGCTGAGCTTCAGAGTACCTCTGAACACCATGCAGAAGACAAGGAATAGAGGCAGAGTCATGTCCAGATTTGGTACATTTGATATGTCTATCAAAATGTGACTCAATTTATGTAATATTTATCTTGAAAATAAAAAATAGTGGATTTGTTTGTTTGTTTATTTCTACTGATCTATTCCTAGCCAAACTCTGCACAACAGAAATGGCAATGGAGGTAAATCTATAAAGACTCTCACTTCCTTCTGCAAACCCTTTGTAACTATCCTATAGAGTCACACAAGCCACTGGTGTGAATGCTTGCAGGAGAAAGCTGCAGCAGGTGTGGTAGGACAGATAAAGTGAATATAAAGCAGYCTTGGTGACTGGAGAGAAGCAGCTTAATTTTACAAAGAAAGGCTAAGTTTCTAAGTCTCCTCTTGTGCAATGTTAGGCCTGTGAATACTAGCAGATGTGATCACTGACCCTACAGAAAGCATGAGACYGCATCTTACGCCAATGGAATAAGGCAGAAAAAGGAGAATCTTTCTTCTTAAAACATAAATGAAGTGTCTCATGGGATAATCTCCCTAAAGCCTCTTTCAGACTCTTCATCTGTTCAGTAAGGACCAGAGATTCTCTGAAGGAACTGGTGTATTTGCAAGGAAGAAAGTGCATAATTTCTGTGTCTCTCCTCAGAAGAGCAAAGCAGGCTCGGCAGCTACGAGCAGCTGCTGCAGCTCCCAGAGCCACAGAGGCGCATGCAAAGAGACTATAGGGACAAGGTGCTTACACATATAAGTGTCTCTAAAAATCCCAACAGGATTAGGGTCTTAAATCATTGCCTAGACATTTCCACATGCTCCCAAAACTTAACACACAAGATAAATTTTAAGTTAAATAAGAATATAAAAGTTTTCTGAATGGGTCTTACTAAAACCCTGTCTCTGACAGTGACTGGTAATAGTAGAATAGGGAAGGAACAGGATAAGCAAGGCAAATGCAAAATAATCCTTCTCTGATATAGCTACCCAGGGGCTGAGAACGAGCACTTAAATCCAGACCCTCATGATTTATCAGTCTAAGAGAGATTCATAAAAGGGTATCCTGGGAAATACATATTCCTGAGAAAAGTGACAGGAAGTCAGTGAAACAGCAAGCTGTATTATTGCAAAGCTCAAGAACACTCCCAGCAAGCAAATGCACTAAAAAAAAAAAAAAAAAGAAAGAAAGAAAGAAAGAGGGAGAGAGGAAAAAAAAGAAATCAGCAAAAACCTGCCACTAATTCATGAAGTAAAATCATAAAACTTTTTCTCTTCAAGGACTATCAATTTTAATATGATGTCAAGGAGCTGAAAGTTAACATGATAGAGGGACATCAAAGTGAAAAACATTAGGAAAACACTGAGGCAGACTTAGGAGAGGTAGCATAAGTATAAAATGCATTAAGTGAAGAGACGGAAAGAATAAACAGCAGCTTCTTACTGGAAGAAGTATCATAGATAAGGATTTATTTGACACATACAGAAGGAGCACATTGTATTTAAACAAAAGGGTTTTTGGCATTTAAAAAAATGCTGGGAGAAGATTCTTCTTATCTTACCAGACACAAAGGCTGGGTATATAAAAAATGAGCTTGTTGATCATCCAAATAGAAAATGCTGCCTCACTAAGGGCTTATGTACACATGGAGAGGTGCAGAAACAGCTGTTCCTGAGCAGCTCCGTGTACAGATGGGCCTTCAATGAGAACACAGTGGAAACGCTTCTTAGCATTAAATGAGATAAGCCTTTAAGCTAACAGGTCTGTGCAAAAGCTTACGCCCATCTTTTGCAAAGCAAATGCCTTATTATTTAAATATACTTGTATTCTCTTCAGGCATAGTGATCGTGATCCGTGTTCAGCTGCAAATACATTTCTCCTCTTGAACACAGTCTACTTGAGCAGTAACGTCTGGGATTGATAACCAGGCCCCTCCAGGAACATGGTGACATTGCAGCTTTTCCAAACATGCCTTAGCAAAGAATAGRAAATTAAAGTGATCTTCTTAGCAGCTGAAGTCAGTCACATCACTTACTAAGTCTTAAATACTAAATATGAGMCTTTTTCTTGAATGTTATTTAATATCTCCTCCCTCCCTCCCACTTTCCCCAGCAGTCCATATCTCCTGTACGAGCAGCACAGCAGCAGGGCCTCCATTCCACACCAATAAATGCCAGCATCACTGTCCCACTGTGACATGCAAGCTGAACTGCCAGGCCAGTTCTCTTGCAGGGATAGGATACGATGGCTCACGTGCCTGAGGAAAAGATACTGCAGAGATCTCTGCAATAATATATTTACAAGGCTCATAARCTTCCTCTGCTTTTACTTACGTGAGAACAGCCCACTGCACACAATAAGGCTGAATATATGAGACAGGATTGCTGGACATGACAAAGGAGCAAAATTAGATTCTTTATGTAACCAAACCTGTGCAAAGAAGAGAATTYGCTTCTCTAGAAGCACTTTAAAGGAAAATATTGCAGAAGAGGGCTGATAAGTCTTGTTTTTGTGGACAAACCACATCACAAATGCTTTTACGGTATGTGTGAAACAAGCTTAGGTTTGCCATGAAAATAACTATCTCCCAATGATCTTCCTCATCCTAACAGCAGAACTAAGCAGAGTCCAGGTTTTTCAGCATCACATCACTAGTGTGCAGCAAAACATAGGACTGATCTCCAAATCGCAGAACCACAGAATAACTGAGGTTGGAAGGGGCCTCTGGAGATCATGTAGTTCCACTTGCTTTCGACTATGTTCAAGGAACAGAGATTCTCTGGGCTACCTGTCCTGATGCTGGCTACCTCCACAGGTACATAAACATGAATTTTTCTGTGTTGTAGCTGGTTGTCATTGTTTCTTGTTCCAGTGATAGCCCTGGAAACTACTGAGAAGAATTTGGCTTTGTCTTCTTTACTGCACTCCTTAATATGTATTTAAATACACAGATATGATCCCCTTGAGCCTTCTCCTCTTGAGATTGAACAGTTGCACATCTCTCACTGTCTCCTCATCTGACAGATGTTCTAGGCCATTAAACATCTCTGTGGCCCTTTGCTAGACTCTCCAGGAGCTCAATCTCTCTCTTGTGCTGAAGAACCCAGACACGGACCCAGTACTCTTGACGTGGCCTTACCAATGCTGAGCCAGGGGGAAGAATCACCTCCCTTGACTTGCTGGGGACAACCTTCCTTATGCAGTCCAGGMCACCACGGGCTTCATTCTCTACTCTTCTAGCTAGAGAACTCAGACTTCTGACATTTGAGCAAAGGAAAATTCTGTTAACACCTAACATAACACCTCTCTGCCATCCAGAGAAAGAATAAAATCATTTTCAGAAGAAAAAAAAAGTCAAGAAAACAGAAGAAAACAGAACAAATTCCTTTTATTCACACACCGAACTGGGTTTGATGGCGTAACAGATTGGGCTGTGTTGAACACAGAGAAATACATGCATTTTTGTGCAAGTATTTTAAATATATTTCAAAATCCACAAGCAATGTGTTAGCCAGTTATACACATAGCYTCCCCCTCAAAATTAACTGGAGATATGCAAAATACTATATGCTACATGGGCATGGGATCAAAATACTGTCAATATTGTACTTTATACTTAGATTGTAACTGTTTTTAATGAGGATGAATATTTGAGGATGTTCATAATGAGGATGAACATATTGAATATATTTAAGTAAAACAAAATAGAGCATTTCTAAATTTATTTTCATTAGTGATGATTAATCGTTTAGTGGATCGTTAATAATCAAGTCTGAATATACCATACTGTCAGTCTGAAAAGATATTTTCTTTAAAGCACAGTGCTTCTTCAGTAAGACAAAAAATACAGTATGTCTAACCTCTCTAAATATGTTTCTTTTCTTCACCCTAAAGATGTCTGGGAGAAGTTTGAGCATTTTGTAGTTGTCTGGGATTTCTGATTATGCCACTCAGATCAAGCTTCAGGGAGTCTAAAAATTCTTGGCACATCACTGCCTATTTACACATCAGTTCTCAACATTTTTCACTGAAAATAAAAACATTGCCAGATGTATATGCAGTTGCTCTAGATTTAAGGTTCTAGATACACAGTATGTACTGTGCAAGCACTGCCCAGTTCTTCACTTATGTGCCACAGATGCTGGGTATTAAACTCACTCTGCAAACACAGACTAGCTCTGCCAGGACATTCGCAGTAGGTCTGGTACCTCTCAAGATTATTAAGTGCCCTGAATTTGTGCAGCTTGTGTGTGACTTGCCAGGTGCACAGCATTCTCACACAGGAATACAGTTGCTTTAATACCAACACTAATGGTATATTCATTGCAAGGTGTGTAGAGATACTCATCCATGCAAGTAGGACCTCTCAGCATCACTGCTCAGCACACAAAGTACCAAAGTAGGGAATGAAGGAAGGTTTCTCATGCCCTGGGAAAGGAACATTTGCATCATTTCAGATGCCATGCCTACATAGCCTCTATATTTTTCATTTTGCAGAAATTTAGAGGTAAAGGAAACCCTTTGAAAAAAAATGTGTTTGTTTTTAGAGAAAAAACATTCTGCTCTCCTTCCTGTGCTTTCACTCTTCTGGGGTAGTCTTTACTATTTACATACGAAGCAGAGAAGCACCAGATGTTGCCTGCTTGTTCTAACCACTGGAAGGACAAAGGATGATGTGRGAATACAAGGTACAAGGAGAAGCAGGAGACACTCTTAAAGGGGTCCAGCAAGGAGAGAATGTTCCTTTTTCTCAGGTACGATGGCTGGCATGGACACTTCTCCTTCCATCCTCCAGAAAGCAAAATGGCTCTGCAGCTCTTTCAGTAAGGGCTGCTCCTTACATATATGCCCTACAGTGGTTCAGAAAAATAACTGATATTTCAGGTGCAATAAGAATGAAGGATTTGTTTTGTCATTACTGTCAGAATTCATGAATAAATATGTACAAGAAGAACACTGTCCCTTCACAGGGTCGTAAGACATTARCTTGTGTTGCTTCTTATTTAGGACTAGTAGGTAGTTTAGTCTCTCAGAGTATTATAGTAGTTGAATTACAGCTTATATGCTCTTCATGAGACAGAAGAAGGACCCGTTTTCTCGAACAGCTTTTGCTAATAACAGCGGTTGATCTTAATATGTGAAGTATGCAAATTTCCATTTGTTTCTGCTTAATTTCCAAATTATTCTGCTTCAGATGTCTCTGAAAACAAACAAAATAAAATTTCAGAATGAAACAGGAAACCTTTACATTTGTATTTAAAAAATACATGAGGAGTGCAAGTGACTGATCTCTTCAATCAAATTAATGGCTTTGAGTTAGGGCTCTTCTGTGCCATAAAAGGATTTGTCAGTCCAATTATACCRGCAATCCAGAGACTACAGCAAGAATAAAGCTAATATATGACACTGATGCAGCTATGCCAGCAACTTTGCCTAAGTACATGAAACTCATATCAGTAAATTGTTCTTTTACTAGTATAGTTTATGCTGTAAAGGGAAATATTTAACCCATACAGGTGAAGAAGTTCCATACAAGCTGTGACTCCAGTGAAGAATTTTCCTCTTATTTCTCCAGCATAACTACACCCATGGAGCCTTCGTTGTGTTGGTGGACTGAGCAGAACAGGAGCCCACTTCTTKGGCTGCCATCTCTAACTGGTGGGCTCTCCAGCAAAGGTAAAAGATTTGCAGGCCTGAGACTGCGGGGAAATTTTGATCCTTTCTTGAAGCTAGTGGCAATATACCACTAAGACTTAGCCAGTGGATCCTCCATTCATTTTTTTTCCCACTATAAAAAGGCATATTCAGTGTTGAAAGGACTCCAGTCTATTTCATACAATCACAGAAAAATTAATATAAGYTAAAAATAAAAGGTTCAATTTGTCCAAACAAAATCATTTCCATTACGGAACTCATGGCAAGAAGAGAACAAAGTCAAGAACCAAGGCACTAAAATGACAGTGTTACAGAAACTAGGCCAAAATAATAACAAAATGGACTTTTCTATCCACAAGTGTCTTTCGGAGATATTAAAAATGAAGATTTAGTGGAAATGAATGCCTAAAAGACGGTTATCATCTCTCACTACATCTGCTTCCTCAACCTGTGTGGGGTTTTTGATCCCATCATGCTCCTTCTGGGCTTTCCTTTTCCAAGACAAGTTGGAACACCAGTTTGACTTGGCAGTGAAACCACCTGTTGTCAACAACTTTATCTAAAGACTACTAGGACATTGATACAAGACTTAATTCCTGTTATTAACATTTCCCATGCAGCTCTTTCATTCTATACTTTATTCCTTTCTTTTTTCTACCTCTCAATTTTTGGCTCGTTTGMTAAGAACTGGGACTTAGTCAAATAATACCATTATTTGGTAGAAATCACATGAAGTTCAAGTCTTGAGAGCAATCCTGCAGCAGCCTGAAACTCAAGCATGTTTTCAGCTCTCTGCATTTCTGGATCATTTTCCTTTCTGTCTGTCTCCAGACACGATGCTACTATCAGCTCCTGAGACAGATGCTGTTTTGATGTTCTGTTTGTGTCACTTCTGCTTGCCTCTGTCTCGTTTTTCTTTTCAGGGACATGAGATGAGTGATCATAGCAGCATTAGAGCTCTTCCAGCTCCTTTCAATAAATTTCTCTCCATTTAAGAAGAATAATTATTATGAACTYCTGCACCCCCTAAAAGACAGTCGAACTGAGTTTATGCATTAAAAAAAAACAGTAAAAGGAAAGACATTTCTGATGTCATTAAAAAGAAAGCCTTACTCAATGCATTTTGAATGTTTTTTTCTTACTTTCCCTTGATTCTTTAAAGAAAGGTTAAAATATGTTAATGACAGTTGTTGCCATAGCAAGCTGAGGCCTCTGTAGCCAAATCACTTGTTTAATTGCTTATTGTTCTGCAATGATGAGGTCATGTTAACAGCATTTACCCTCTGGACACTTTTATTTTGTTAAAATTAACACAGTAATAACTTCAGGCAAATCTCTGTTCTTTGTTACTCCCTTCTGTCTGCCATGAGGACTAGTTCTTACTAGTGTCATCCTATTGTACTTTGGCCCTGACTCTGGAAGGATTTTTTTGTGAGGCACTAATGAGCATTGAAAATAATGAAGACTGATTTTCTTAATGTATGTCTGACTTTTGAATTTTCTGTCTATACTTCATTATTTTTTCCTACAGTTTTAAGTAATTTGGCTGAATAGATTTCATTTTGATAGCTCTCCAAAAAAAAAAAAAAAAGGTCCTGAAGAAGGGCAAGATCATGCATGAGAAAGAGTTAATTGAAAGAGTTCTCCCTTGGCAATTTGGCAGAGATGCAAGAGACATTTTGTTTTTCATTAGTTGACTAAAAGTAAGCCTAAAAGAGTTTTGTTTATTTGTTTGTTTTTAAAGTCTTTTCAACTAGTCGTATGGCATACATATACCAAAGCTGATTCTAAGGCTCTATCAATTTTATAAATTTGTTTTTGCACACATTAAAGTTTAGTGTCAAATACCTAAATCAAAATCACTTTTCTAAAAATGCTCACAGAAGTGCAAGGACAGAACTTGATAGAAATTTTAAATGACAAATAAGGTCCATAATGGGAGATTTTGGATAACTGGGGTTGGGGAAGTTCAGCAGACTAGAAGAGCTATGTGCTCTTTGGCTGTCTAATGACCTTAGAGAGGACATTGCTCTGGCATCCACTGCGGGCTACAATTTATGGGACTTTTCAAGAGAAAATGGGATCTTGTTGGGGACAGCAAGATTTTTACTTTCATGTTTGCTAAAGCCCTCAATGAAGATAACTAATTAAGTGTCACTTGTCTTCCACTGATAGGGAGTTTAAAGGGCATATGGATGAAGACTTGAATAGCTAATGACACTGCAGCAAGCAGTACAGTAACAGACTGCCCCTCCAGGCATTCATTGCTTCTTGAAATGTCTATAGTCAAAAGGGCTATCTTGGTCAAAAAGGGAGTTTTGTTTTCCCTTCCTCTCCTTCTAGCCTTGTTTCCACTCTATATCAAGTCCCCATCCTTTCCAGCATATGGATTGAAGACCATGCATTGTACAAAGCACCTCCTTTGCCTCCCTTGCCTCCTTGCCTTTCCTGTAACTTTTTGATTTCTGTGGCTGTGAGCAGGTGATGCTAAACCTTGCCCTGGAAGGCACAGAAATAACCAGGTAAATCAGAACAAGCTGCAACGAGCCAATGCCAGGACTAGATGAGGGATAGAATATCATATCCTCCCATTTACATAGGCAAGGTGGGAAAACTCATTTTGGATCCAGTTCACTTTCTAGTCCAAACAGGATGGAAATGTTATATGACATTAACAAAAAAAAAAAAAAAAAAAAAAAAAAAGAAAAAAAGAATCACTTCAGAATAAATTTTATCTTTTCCATTATTGAAATCATTCAGGTTTTGCTGGGCTGCCAGAGATTGCTCTTAAGAAGAGAAACTGATGAGGTAACTAAAGAAACGTTCATAAGAGGTTCAACTATGAGTGAAAAGAGTTTAGATTACACAGTTTCACTCAGATCTAGATGCAAGTTCAAGATGTGTTTAGCTGGAAATTATGCTTGGAGCACCTGGGAAGCAAAGGCCTCTTCACTAGCTCTTTGAGCCTCCTGCAGATAGCCAGGGCAGAACCACAGGCGCGCAGTGGAAATACAAATAATTCCCGGGTATCTATTTAAAATAGACAAACCTTAATTATACATTACATGGCTTCTGCTGGCAAGGTCTCTATTCACTGTTTAGCTTTTGTTACACAAAATTGGTACAAATGGGAAAATTAGACAAGCTTTCAGATACAAAGACTTTCTTTGAGTCTTCTTTCTTGCATTTCTTCTTTCTTGCATTTTTCTTTCTAAGTATAATTGTTTGTYTAGTTAAGATTTTGTCCCCACCAAGAAGTCTGTGCAGTTATATCCCCAGGAAAGCAGTAGGTATCACTCTGATAAAGATGCCACCCCTAAGAGTGGCAGTGGATCATAAATGGCACKGTCAGCATCAGAGACCCCTTCCTGACTGGCTCCTAAAACATATGCTTGCAACAGCGATGACTTCCTAGGAAAACTAGCTTGTTTTGAAAAATGATGATTAGCTATCAGTCAGAAAAATCATTCTGACTGCATTGTTTRCATCCATAGGGATCTTAGGACACACTCACCTTTTTTCTTCAGAGACTACATGCTTATTTTGAATTGCAGTGTCTTGAAATGCTTTTCTTATGTTTTCAATTATRTTTTCATCCACATAGTCATTGGTATGCTCTTCTTTTTGTTCCTTTTCTCTCTCACACCTTCCAAGCACCTTGCTTGTCAGACCTAAATAATTAACACACAAAAAAAGTAAAAGTAAATGGCAGATACTGCTCTTGCACTGTAAGGAGCACAAAAGTAAAAAGTAAAGGAAACAAAGCTTTACYGTATCACAAAGTCTCACACTGTTTTGCTGTTTCATAATATCCTCACTTCTCTCATTTTCACAGAGTTTGTAAGTGACTTTCTCAATTTTCCGAAGGATATTGTGTGGCAGATGAGGAATGAAATCAGCTGAGTGTTTTATAAAAGTCTTCACACTTTTTTTTAGGAGATCTTTTTCCATTTTTTACTTGTAGCTCAAAGGCTCTGGACAAATTGGTTGTCCATTCGCTATTCTCTGTCCAGAGATAACTCTAAGATCTAATAAAATGGTGAAAACCTGTGATCACTAACTGTGTAAAAGCAGACAGAAAAAAATCTTACAATATAAAGAAAAGAGCAGTCTACCTGCCACAAGCAGTCCACCTGCCATCTCTATCGCAAATATGCTCCTATGTTTCATTGCCTGAAGAAATTAATCTCTGTCAAAAGGAATCAATATTATTTCTTTCCTAGGATGAAAAGCCTCAATTTCTTCTCATCTGGAAGACAATATAACAAACAAAGAGGAAGGCTTGAATGTGGCCTGAGGTTAAAATTAAAAGTTTTGACAGATGTAACTTTGTGTCTACCCAGATCAACTTGCAGTAACACTAAGGAAAAACTTTCCCAAAGGCAATGCCTTCTTCCACAGGAGCAGGGGCTCTTGCTCACTCTGCAGGTCAGTTTTATCATGCGGTCTCACATTTAGCAGAGCTACTCAGAGCAAAATTCATGCAGAAATGGTTTCTCACTCCCCTCAGGACCATGGCCTTGGTGGGTATCGCTGCAGCACACCTGACACCGCAGCAGTCCGCAGGCACCAGCAGCTTCCGGCAGAGCTCATGTCACTCGGCTGTGTTTGAGTACGGGACAGTGCGTGGGATATCTACCCTGGGCCCAGTAATGGATAACATGCTTCAAAAGGCAGCGAGCGGCTTTACGTGCAGTGGCAAAGTGGTGTGAAACACGGCTCGTGGAGCAGCTGTTCCTGTTTGGATATTAGGCTGCAATGTGACCTGCAACAGCCAGTATGTGCACACAGGCCTTCCCTGTTTGTCTAACCTCCTGGCAAGGCCATGCTTATCAGAGAGCTCCTTGTTTATGGGTTCTCACACACGAACCCTCCCATGCCTATCCTTGAGGCCACCATGCTCCCCTTCACAAAGGAAATAGCTGCATATGTTCTCAGCAGGAACCAAATCCCCTCATGCTCCTGCTTGGACTTGCAAAGGCTGAGCTGCATATCCCTGAAAAAATGGATTCATTTCCCACTCCATAAAAGATCTTTTTAAGGCCTGAGCTAATGACTATGTTTGTTAAGACAGACCTAGCCTCTCAGAGCAGAGTTTCCCATGGACATATTCACCCACTAGTTCTCCTATTTCTTTCTAGCACTGAGTAAATCAGCAACATATTTGTAGATCTGTGCACCAAAAGGAAGAAAAACTATGATGAGAAATATAATGAATGTTTCTCTCATAATTTTAGTCATATATCTTCTAAATAAACACTTCTAAGTTTGTTGATCATTTGCAAGTGGCCTGTGTGTGATATCAGTAAAAGTAAACTAATGAATAAAACAGACTYTGAAGGAATAAGCTAATCCCTGTGTTTCAGCAGGGGAAATTTTGTTTGTGCACTTAGACTTGCTAATATGGATGTAAAGTACTGGTTGCTTATGGAAGTCATGGCTAAACTTTCTTTATTAAACATATGCAAACAAAATGGTAAGCTTCTAAGTAAGACAGCTCAAGGAGAAAGGAAATTAATGTCATAAGGCCAGACTAAATCACAGATGTCCCCAATCCCAAACCTGTGTGGGGTTCCTGTTGATATGTATACATTTACACTTCAATAAAGCATTAAACAACAAATGGGACAAGCTGAACAATCTCAAGGGAGTATTGAACCCTGAAATCAATGCAATTTGCTTTCCCTTTAAAAAAAATCCATTAGTCTCAACCATAAACTATTGCATCAGGCATGTCATTTTAACTTGCTAAGAAGACAAGGCTTATGTCATCACATTGTCTATCTACCCATCTGTCAGGCTTTTCGGTATTTACTACGGAGGGCTGCCAATTTCAGTCAAATTAGAAAAAGGGGCAGAACTACCAAATTTAGTGAAAATGCATGCATGATTATAAACGGCAGCCTTAGATTAGTTCCTCTGTGGAAGGAAAGGCATGCAGAACACAGCTGCTACCCACTCCCTTGGCAGCAGGCAGCAGATAAATCAACATGTGCATATTAGTTGGCCACTCAACACACAGGTAGCTACAGATCTACTCTTCATGTGATAAAAATGCCATAGGGAGAGTTTTCATTATTGTCAGGGAAGGAAGGGGGAAAGAAGCAGCAAGAGACATCAGACCTGAATCCTTACTAAACCAAATTTCATTATTTCTGCTCTTCCTGGAACAAATTTTATAATTGTGTTAGTCTTTCCATTGGGGAAGAGTTGTCTGCAGAGTAAAATTTTCCATTTATCTAAATCACATCCTTGAGTTCCTTGAGTGGGCTGTGTGGGGGTGTGTGGGGGTGTGTTTTGTATATGTGTTTTTTGTGTGTGTGTTTGATTTCTGAATGTACTTGCTATTCATTCAGGAACTCCAAGGTCACAAAGAGTTGTCTTAACCTTCCCTTCCATCCTACCTCACAATACAGGCAACTGAAGTTATCCAGCTACTAAGACCATTGCTAAAATGCAACCACTGCTAGAAACTCAATCTCGTTTGTAAAAGACTGAGCACCAAAAAACACCCATCCATGACCACAAGCAAGTTTTATAGCTATGGTGAGGTATCTCAGTTCAGAATTTATGATTCATGAATTAACAACCAGCCACATTAATAACCTTCACTGTTTATGCCTAATATAAAAAATAACAGTTGTGAATTATCATGCTGCAATTCGAGGCCTACTGCGAAATAAATAAGGGGGAATCATGCCTTTCTTTCTGAACATCACTGCACTAAAAGCACACCGATCTGAAGAGTATGGGAGTAAATCTAAAGTGTTTTTATGAACAGTAGTGCTTTATTTGTTGTGGGCCTGGTTCTAGCTSTCCTACATGCTAACAAGAGCTAATTCCTTCAGGAGTGCTACTGAAAGCCAGCAGAATCAGAGCCAATAAAACTAATGGACTGTTCCCTCAGCTGGTATCCATCAACTATTTCTTCACTTGATGATTTAGCACATTTTTAAAAGCTGTGAAGTGCTATATACATTGCAGGGTTAAAAATTATATTTGATTAGCATTTATATCCTTCTGGAATGTGCTGAATCTTTGTGCAAAGAAGTTTAACCTCATTTCTTAAAAAAAAAAAAAAAATCTGAAGGGTGCAGCTGTTGATCTCTTTCTTGCCTTCTTAGCTTCAAATCTTTTTCTTTGTCTCTTCTCTTATAATTTATCTTTGTATTTTTCTTTAAGTCTTTCGATCATGAATTTCCATTGTTGCACCGCTGTTGCTTCTTTTTCTTTTTTCTTCATTTTTTTTGTAATATAAATATATTAATATATCAATGAATCTTACAGAGGAGAAATATTGCTGCAAGTTTTAAACAACTGCATCACTTCACTTAGAATTAAAGGCCATCATTAAAAATGTAATAATCAGAAGCTACAGGACATGCATCTGCTTCAGCAGTCATCTCTAGTAACTCTGCAAGTAATCCTGCAGCTCATTCTCCTGCTAGTTACTTCTCCAAGTTCCGAAATGGCAGTATTGAAGTATTATTGTAATTAAAAAGAATTATAAGTAATAAATAAGGAAAACACAGGAATACAAGGCCCATGCTTTACTTACTCTGCATCATAACAACTTGGAGATTGATTGAAAATCATTAAATATAGTCTACCAAAGTATACTCACCATCCTATTAAATGCCATTTTAAGTCATTTCCTTATCTGATTTTTTCTTTCTTTCTTTTTCTTTTAATCTTAAGTAGCATATGTGTCAGACAAGAATAAGGTTGTGTAATGTAACAGGTTTGGCCTAGTCAAAGATGGAGCCAAAGGCTCAAACCTAGAGTTTTCATACCTATGTATTACCACACATTAGCAATCCTAAATCATGTTGCTTATTTCTATGTGTCTGAGTTTCTGATTTAGAACAGTCATATGGCTTTTCCATGATACCATCAAAGACAGAGATTTTTTTTTGTTCGCATGTTTATTTTGAAAATTAATTCAGAATTGTATGTTTTGCTTTCTTTTCTTTTCAGAAATTTCTAAAAYCATGTTCACTATGAAAGTTATTATGTGCTACGTGTACATCTCCAATCGCAAGCAGAAGGCCTCTTCATTTTCTTCTTTTTCCAGCACACTAGCCTCCTAAATCAGGTGCCTAAAGTAAGAAAATATAAATATCTGCCTGGAAATGTCCTAGCATCAATAAGCAAAATCAATGCAAACACATTTTTATTACAAAATATAATGATTCCAGAAATGTAAACCACTAGCAAGAAGACTAGGCAATGCTTTAGAAACTCCACTTAAAATAAATGTCAAGGTTAAGTAAAACAAATTGATTTAGCAGATTTCAGATTATAGTTATGATTGTACAAATACTGCTGTTTTTTTAATGAATTCAAACTCAGTCAAATTCAAATATACATAAAAAAGATAATATCTTAACTGGCCAATAAGGGTTTAATTGCAACAGAGGAAAAAAGGTGCAATTTCCTGCAAGCAAAGATAATAAATCCTATCTTTATTAACAAGAATCTTGCAAGGAAACACAAGAGAGACCTTAAAACTGAAAGAAAAATATGTTGCTTTTTGTTTCAGAATTACCTGGCCTCTGGTAAAAATAGTAATTGTGTCTATAACTGGTTTCTCTGACAGCACAGATTCAATATCCTTATTAGGCATTTGAAATAGGTTGGTGTTTGGAGGATGGCTTAGCATTCACTAGCAGAAGTTTAAAGATTAGTCAGTAAATGGCACAGCTACTCCCACTCAGAACCCACAGGAGTAGGTCTGTATTTTCAGTCTTGACATATTTTCTAATCCATTGTCCTGTGGGCTAGCACAGCAGAACAGCTTGATGCATGCAGCACTGGACTTCTGGATTCCTTTGACTGGCCAGGAGGAACTGTTATATCCTCTAAACCAATCTCCTATATAATTCTCCATCCACCATTGCATTAAACCAAAAAAAAAAAAAAAAAAGGCTATATTAACACACATCTAGAAAAAAAATACACACCACATCTTTACCTTTTATTTGAATATATCAGTATATCCATCCTCAGCCCTTTGGTCTAGGTTAAATCAGTCTCCAACTTTTAACTCATGCTATACCCAAATTTAGGCAGTTTGCCTTAGAGTATATCCCTGTACAGCTAAAGATGACACAGTTTCCTAACCTTGTAAAACAAAGAACCTTATAAAACAAGAAGACAGTTCAGCTTAATTTTCTATGTGTAAAACAGAACTGTTTGTTTGAAAGCTTTCAATAAATAAAGCTATTCTTTATCTAATCTACTGCTGTGAGCAGTCAGAGCTAAGACAGTATATAGGATGAGATTAAAAAACTAGCTGCAACTTTTGTGAGGATAAGGTAGGAGAGATACTCCCTGGGCTTTGAAATTAGGAGCGCTAGAAACTGGACTTGGTGAGAATAGTTAGTGCTTTAAACCTCTACAGGACCAGAGGCAAGCAGCATCCTGTAGCACTAATAACTATGTTTTCTCTCGTGTTCTTAGGCATGCATCTATAGCTACTTGCAAAACACAGGTCTCTAGGCATAAACTCAGTGAAAGAGGAAAATAACCGAGCCTATTTGATACCTAAAGTTTAAAGAAATGTTTCTACTGGAAGCAAGAAGTATAAAGTCAGTAATCTACTGTTACAAATGATGAGTGGGTGTCAACCAGAAGATAAGAAAGCACTATGCTTTCACAGGAGGGATTATACATCAAAGGATAGGATCTTTCTTAATGGATGAAACCCAAAAGAAATAGAGAAAAAATGAAGACAGAATAATTTAACACTAGAACAAGCTTCCTTGATAAGTAGAGTATTTTGGAATTAAAAACATGAAGAAAGTGCTGAAAAAATAAAAAACAGCAAATCAAACTCAAATGCTATCAGAGATTCAAAAACAAACAAACAAATAAATAAGTTTATCAGGCATATAAATGGGTTGGACAAAAGACAAACACTATTGGCCCAGAATGAATAAAGAGATAGAAAACAGTCAGAGACTCTAAGCAATGCAGATGAAACTGCGAAAAACATTGCCTTGTTTTACTTAACTACTGAAGCGTACCTAGGGAGCTTCATTCAAATAAATGCAAGTAAATGGAAAATTTCAAATCAACAACGTCTGTAAAAGGACTGTTTGTAGAGTCCAGACCTGCAACCTACACAAACTAACACGAAAGATGAGCAGAGTGAAGAACAAGGCAGAAACCCTGCCACCAGTGTAGCTGACTGAGATAGCAACAAACAGCAGTTTATGCAGGAGTTTCTGGACTCTGGTCAAGACCTTCCTGATCTTCTGATGACATCATCATCTGAAATGGCCAGGGGTCTCCTGGGAGCCCTCTAAGGAACGCCAGGGTGCCTGCTGCTGCTGGGTGAYGATAGCTGCAGGAGGCTGTGACATCTGGTACACTCCAGTAACTTCCATTGAGCTCTGACAGCTCTTCTTGACACAAGAGTGTTTTGAGCTCTTGATCCCAACTGACTCTTGACTGGGGARGGTCAAACACCATTTTAGCAAGTTCTGATGAAATGCCTGTGAAAGTGCTGGATCCAAGCACAGAGGCAGTCAATAGGCCCAGTAGTTTTTACAGAGGGGCTCGCRACTGTTCTGACCAAAATGCATATCTTCAGTGATGGTGGTGATGCACTCCCAAGGCACAGTCCCCAGCAGAYACTGGAGTAACCGATGGTGTGATGCTCAAAGGGGAGACATAAATCTATTAGGTGTAGCTAAATGGCTAAGTATGGAGGATTAAAATCTGGCAGAAATGCCAGGCTCAAAGGATACTCAGCAGCAGCACACAATCCAGCTGGAGGCCAGTCATTAGCAACCCAGGGTGAACAGCCARCTACTTGGATGATGGAAGAGATTTTATCCTCAGCAAGTTTGCAGATGATACAACTAGGAGTACACTATCTTTCAGAGGAGCTTCAAAAGGCTGGAGAAATAGGCAAAGAGGAACCTCATGAAGTTCAACAAAGGGACATGGAGAGTCCTGCCCATGGAGAGGAATAACATCATGCAGTAGAACAAGCTGAAAACTGAGTAGCTGGAGAGCAGCTTTGCAGTGGAAGGAGATCCTGCTGGACAGCATACTGAACATGGCCCTGCAATGTGCCTTCATGGCAAAGCCAGCTAACTTCCTGGGCTGTATTACAAAAAGAGAGTCATCAGCTGGTTGAGGGGAATAGTCCTTTCATTTTACTCAACATAAACAAGGCCACATCAAGAGTACTGATATGGCTCCCCAGTACAAGAAAAACATAGACATGCTAGAGGAGGTACAGAAAAGGAACATGAAGATGACTGAGATGGGAACATCATACAAGGAGATGCTAAGACAGCTGGAACTTCTCCACTTGGAGAAGGGAAGGCTCAAGGGATATCTTATCAGTGTGTTTAAGTGGGATGATGTGAAGAAAATAGGGGCAGACTCTTCTCAGTGGCTGCAGCAGCAGAACAAAAGGCAACAGGAGCAAATTGACACAATAAATTCCATTTAAGTGTGAAAGCACTTTATTACTGTGAGGGTGATCAAACAATGGAACAGGTTACATTGAGATGCTGCAGAATGTCTTTGAAGATATTCAAAACCCAGCTGGACATAGTTTTCTAGCTGATTTTGCTCTGAGTGGAAGATTCAGACTAGTGGATCCCCAGAGTTTTCTCCAGGCCTTGACTTTGCTGTGGTGCTATAAAACCTTGAGAATCATAAAAATTTTTGCAAGTAATTTCAGGGTAGCAAGACAAAGCAGGAGTCCTATGTAGCATCCTGTTGTGGTGACTGACCAAGTCACCAGAGACTAGATAAAGACATGTCTGTTTGTCTAAAACATTACATATACTCTCAGAGCTGCTTGAACACTCCAATAGTGAAGTAGCCAGCAATCCCAATGTATGATGTGAAGACTAACTACTGTTCCAGGAAGTCTTTCAGAGTGGAATAGGAAGCCTTCTTCTTACTGAAGACACAGCATTAATGCATGCACATCAKAAGTCAGTTAGTAAGCCTCTGTTTGTACTGTGAACTGCTTCTTTTCCCTTTGAGATCTTGAACTACAGAGGGATGCAGATTGAGGATGAGGGCAGGAAAGACCTTCCCCTTARCCTTAAACCTGTCCTCCAGAGAAAGAAAAGACAACTTGGTACTAGCTGAAATGAACACAGTTACCAGCTTTCTGCCTATATGCAGATGCAAGAGCAATAACAATGTCTCAGACTATGAAGATGGTTCTGACAAAAAGAAGGGAAAGAGCAGCCACCTTCTAATGCTATAACTGAACTGCAGCAGTAGTGACAGGATCTTCAAAGCTCTTTTTCCTTTTCAGTTGGAGGATCTCAGTTCAGAAACCACTGCACTGTTTGTGTAACAGAGGCCCAGGAAGTGACTGTAATATAGTGCTTTTCACTACATTAGTGTGCTGAACTGAGCCACTGCGTTTAGAAAAATCTTTAAAAAATCTCCATTATAAAACTTGCAACATGACTTCAACGTGTGTTGCTTTTCATGCCTGCGAGGAGCTCAAGCACAAGGTGGTAAAGCAGCTGCACAAGCACAGAGCTATGCAGCTGYGGAAAAGGCAGCCCTCGACACAAACTGCAAGCCTGATGTTGTTTTCAGTAAGGATGACTTAGGCAGCTTTTCTTCAGGTGTCCCTTCCTATACCTCATACCTACCTTRCCTCACAGAGATTAACCCGTATGATTGATCCAGATGATTCCTGTTTCATGAACAACCATTTTCAAAGTCAAGCCCCAGTATTTTGCATGTAAGACTCTCGGCACAAGACTGTAAAACACCAACCCACCTTGGCATTATTTCTGTTCTGTGGTTTAAATGGAGGTATCATTTTCCAGAGCTGGCAGTGTGGAAATTTCATCATTCAGTGCTATAAAATCTAATCAAATTATTATGCACTGACAAAATGGAGCCTACAGGGAGGTTTTCAAAGCCACAAAACAACAAATTTAATATTATCTTTCACAAGTAGCTGAATACCAAAATATAATTTGAAAATCTGCCCCCAAATAATTAACTTCACTGACATGAGAATTGCTGAATATTCAACAACCTACAGTGATTTTTTACTAARAAAAAAACTATTTAATTTGACTTTGGAGGAGTCTCAGTGACAATAATTTTAAATATACGGACCATCATTTTGGAGAGTGTTACACACTGGTTGATGAGACAATAAAGAAAAACTTTACAAGAAGTTTTTATATTAATATCAAATATCAGTTAACAAATGCAATGACAGTGCCCCAGTCCAAATGTTCCACTGATGCAATTAATGTGATGTGTGTTCATATTTCAGATCTAACCCATGACTGACAGATTAGTGAAATCAATTGAAATTTTTATACTAACTTCAAAGTCTTTAGGATTTGCCCTTATATCATTTAGCTTCTAAGCTTCAATATGTTCTGAGAAAGGAAAAAGTTGAAAGATAAGTAGAAAACCTAAGTATTTATCAATACTCAGGAAATCTAAGGAAAGCGTGACTGAAAACAATTAACAGTCAAGTAATTTGCAATTTGCTCAATACTACTTTTTCTTCTCAATACAAAAATGTGACTTGAAGAAATCCTCCTATCTTTGATGTAAATTGCTTGCTCATCTTCAATGCTTCTTGGAAACAGCATTTTTTAGAGAAGATGATGTGTAGATTCCTAAAGCAAAAGGAAGCTGCATCTTTTCCAYGCAAGTCAGTTCTTGAAACCTACTGAATATTCACGCTGTAGTGTCAAACAGAGTTTAATACCATGCTTCTGTTGAGAACTCAAATGAATTTGCCTTGTGGCATTTATGGTGGAAGAACAGAGTTGTTCACATTTTCTCTCTTTTGACTAATTCACAGATTGCAAATGAAATCATACAAAATAATCTTGCATGTAAATTATTTATCAGGGCTAGTGTTAAAAATGCTTATATTAATTATACTCAAATCTTAAAGCTTAACTGACCTTTAATCACATTGGCTTCCACTAATGTAGCTGTCCTAGTCACATCCCTTTCTTTCTCATGGTGCATCAAATCATTCTGACAACTAACTTGTAAATCCGAAACATCAGCGGCTTGATTTGAGCAGAATTTCTTGGTGGTGTCTTCACAGAAATTCTGAAATTAGATAGAAGAGCGCATTGATTTCACACATAAATTGTTATTCCAAACTGGATACTTTCACAGCTGTGACAAGTAAGAGCATCATTCTTTGGGCACTTCTGTGAATTTTAACCACAATTTTTCTGTTTCTCATAATAAGTTATCAATCACATTTAACACCAATGCCTGTCTTTGAGACACGTGCATCACAAAATAACATGACAAGATGGCACTATATGTGAGGCAATTACCCTTAAAAATCTCTATTCTCCTTTGTGTTGATATACGGATATGCAAATGCACAGAAAGATGTATCCTTTTCTGTTGATACCGATTTCTTTCTGATCAACTATTTCTATTGTATTGTTCATTAATTTAATGAGTTCTATTATATAGTACATTACAAAATCATATAAATTCTGGCATTTCAATTATACTTATTCAGCAGCCTAAATAGTTAGACAGTTAGACAGCAGACAAGTATAGCAGTATTAATCATAATGTTGTTATATTGCAAAAGCAAAATTATGTGATTATAACACTTGCATTTCCTAAATTTCATGCTTGGTATATGCACTTTTATAATTCTTTTTTTTTTTTTTTTTTTTTTAACAAGAAGGTATTTATATCATAAGCACTTTCCATTGTATGTATATTTTCACTGGTATGAATTACCTGTATAAATGTCAATTAAAAGTATCATAAATCAAACCTTCATCAAAACTATACACTAATTTCAGTGTAGTTATAGTCCAACTGTAATCACTATATCAGGAATTGTCCTTATTAAAGAAAAAAAAAAAAAGATGTTCCTTTCAAAATCAAATGTAGATTTTCATCAGCAATGCTAAAGCCATCTCATTCAGAGACAGAAAGTGATGTTAGTAAAACTGACAGTAGTTGCACAGTAGTAATGTCTGATCTGTTTAAAATCAACTTGCACTTTGRGAAAGCACAGCACAAGATCACAGTTTATGACAAGTTGTCTATTTTGAAAGAAATATCAGCAAGTTAAAAAAAAGCCATTGGTAACTGAAACAGAAAACTAGAGACAGTATTTTTAGTAGAACAACTGAAGATGAAATCTGTGTGGTAAATTTTTCTCAGTGGGAGGGTCATGGCATGACATTAAGTGGAGGAATCTCATTTTTCCGTTAAAGGAACCTACAGAAATTATCTGCATTCTCTGAAATAAACAGTGAAAAYGAAGCCCTATCTACAGGGGTTAACTGAGTGACAGTATTCAGTGCAAGGTTGAGCAGCCCAGGTACAGTCTCTGGGCACTCTGAGGTACTGCTCTTCTCGATTGCAAAACAACCTCTGATATCAAGCAAAGCTGTAAGCGCTGATAAAATTCACAAAGACCTTGGGGATTTGTAAGAAAAAAAAATACTATCCTGGAATAGCTTGCCAAGAGGACAGGAATGTCAGAAGAAATTCTTAACAGCAAAGAAGAAAAAATAACCTAATAGAAAAGATACTATTTTTTCAAATTGGGACAATTCTCRGCTGATTTATAGAGTAGGGACTTCCCTGAAATTATAAGAGATTTGCCTTTTTTTCACCAGCAGAGTATGACCCTTCTTTTCTTGATGATTTGCATCAGAACATTCCTTCCCCTCAAAATTCAGCCTTTAAGTTATTCGAGAAACCCAGTGAAAATAACATAAATAATAAAGTATCTTTGAAAGTGTAATTCTTGTCTAGTCAGCTCCTTTTTGAACATATTAATTGCAGCAGTTGGTACCATGGAGTACGTTCAGCTTATGTGCTCTACATTGTCTTAAGTAATTTAAGAAAATGCTTTGGTGTCAAAAGGGAAAAATCCTCTCATTACAAAAAAAACTAGTGCAAATCTTGTCAGTCATTCAGCAAAACCACACACTATGATACAATGGTTTCCCAGGGCACGCCACAAATAAATTAAAATACGTAGAACTCAGACGTTTAAGAACAAACCAGGGAACAAACTAGGAAACTTCCCTGCCTGAAGAAATTAAGTGGTCTCCTCATGACTTTCTTTCATTTCTATGTCTAATTGCTTTTTGAAGTCAGTTACTCTTCTGATAGTCACATCATGTGGCAATGAGTTCCCGAGTTTACTTCTACACTGTATAAATTTCTTTTGCTTTATTTAAGTCTCCTACCTAATCATTTCAAGCAGCTATTGCAATCACTTGCAGTTCCCTTCCTCCTTGCATTCAAGAATTTACAGGCATACATGAGCTCTCTCTTGAGTCACCTCTTCTTATGGCCCAAGAGTTCTAGTCTGCTTGACTTCTCCTCTTACTGAAGTCAAATTATATTCAGCAATGGAGCAGATCATAGAATTCTGTTTTTTTTTTTTTTTTTTTTTTCAGGAAACAGCCCAAAAGCTGCCGAAGGCCCCTTGTATATGACACCTACGTGAAACAGCACTGTTTATTGACAACTGCTCAGTTAGCTAAGAATATAGCCCAGAAGTTATAAAAACTTTGGAGGGGAGCTCCAATAATATTAACAGCAACAACCAAGACCAAATAGTTGAAAAAGAAGCTCTTCAAGCAAGAGAGAAAATAAAATCTGTAAAATCTATTTAAATATATAGATATATATGTTCATAATACACATTATTATTTGGGGGTTTTTTTATGCCTTTTTTTTTTTTTTTTTTTGAGTGGGAGGGGAAAGCCTCAACAGTATCTAGAACATTCAAAGCAAAGAAGGAGAAGCATTTGTTTAAAGAACTGAAAAATGTGGGAGTAAATATGAAACCAGCAGCTGTCATGGTCTCTGATAACTCTGTGAGAGATGTAATGGCGTAAACCAGTGTGAAAAAGCCTTGCCTTTCCAGACAGAAAGTCAAGCTGTTATATGATTACAAATGACTCTGGTGAAGAGGAGGACTCATTTATCGGAGCAATCAGTGTTGGACATGGCACTACACCTTTGGAGTACATTTATTATGAGTCACCCCTGCTACTAGACACAGATCATAAACCTTTTACTGCAATCTGGAGTGGCACACTCCAGAAACTCAAGTCAGAGCTCTAGACATATATCTTTGCTTTGGCATATACTGCACTGGTATATTTACCCGTAAAATGCTTAATTGCTTCACGGACCTTTCAATCAGGAAAAAAAGAAAAAAAAAAGAAAAAAAGAAAAAAAGCTGAATACATGGAATGAGAGAGTGATAAATAATTTTGTAGTCCACATATTCTTCACCATTTTCAAACAAAAGACAACTTGTCAACACAAGCTACAAAAGAATATTTGGTAAGAGTCATATGGCAGTGTACTCATGGGGAAGTCCAAACCAGAATTTATGCAGGTTTAGCTTTTAGTATTTTACAGAATATTTTATAGCCATGATAAGAGAAGGGTAGAGAGGGAAAAATCAGTCTAAAAGTGAGACAGGAAGATGATTTTTGCTGTTTTATAAAGAAGATCTCATAAGTCTCAGGAAAACTCACAGGATGACATCCTAAACCAAMAGGGATCATTTTACTCCAATCTTCCTTACATATGCTTCACTTTCTGCACAAAGAATTCAACACTGCAGTAATCAGAGAAGAGTCCCAGGTTTTGCTTCTTGTATAAATATAAAACCAGGGCAAGTGATCATACAGTCAGATCCGTAAGCCATCCTGAACCACAGATCCAAATTCTCTGGTGGCTTGCAGGAGTGTAAATTGGGGTAGCTACATTCCTTCCAAATACTTCAATCCAGATTTACACCACTTTTAGTCAAAATAAAATTTCACGCATGATATGAATGGGCGAACGAATGCACAAATTCCAATAATGGGAACACACAGCTGGAAACTGCTGACACCTCACAGGAAATTTGCATTATTATGGCAGACGGTTAGGACTGATTTATACCACTAGAAAGGAAACAATTACCATTCGATTATTACTCATTTGTGTCCCAAGGTAGCCTTTTTGCCTGATCTATTGGCAAGCCAACTAGCTTGCACATGGAGGTAATTTTTGCAAGGGCACACTGTACCTACAGTTAAGGGTACTGACAAGGGTCCGTGATTTTGTAGTGAAGAATTTTAAGTGCCTTCCCCATTGCACTGATTGCAGTGCATGATATCAAACCTTCATTTTCCACAGTCCACTGGGCTGTGGAAAAGGAGAGGAGTTAGTTAGAAGCAGCTTCAGAATGGCCATAGGCAATAAAGAGGACCCTCATTTAGGCTCATTAACACACAGGACAGGAATCCTTCAGAGAATTATTATTTGCCTGCAGAGCTCCTAGGATACTGTAAGCTAGAGAAGAACTGTATTTGCCCAAGAATAGGCCAAGGTTACATGGTTTCAAGGACAGGAACAAAATTACATTGGATAGTCTACCTTAAAGGCATGTAGAACCACTGATTAAATTACTGTTTGTTTGGGGKTTTTTTTTGATCAGTGTTAAAATTCTTAACTATTACCCCTTTACAAAGTACTTTTTGTACCTGGCCACAATATCACAATTAATTTGATCTTCTCTGTCAGTAGTCTSGGATTTTCCAGGGATTAAAGTGGAGATGCTAAGAAATGAAGTCATGATAAACTTCAGAGAAATGCCACTGTAAACATATACGTAGGAATCAAAACACATATTTWAAAAAAAAAGCAAATAAAAGCTTTTCTTTTYTTTTTTTTCCCTAAAAGTAGAAAAGAATTAGATTATCCATGTTCAGAGCTTGAATTGAAACATTTTGATCTAAAAACTGAAACAAAGCAGAAAGCTAGATTCAAGCTATATCCAATTCTGCAAAAAAAGGCAAACCAAATAAAGTAGGGAATTGAATTGTCTTGAAGAAATCAGCAGATATATGGAACATTAAGAGTTTTGCCCAATAAGCAGTTTATCAGTGAGCCTGCATAAATACACGCTACTTAAAACAGAATAAACAGTGAAGGAAATGGCATTTCTGTAAGAGCAAAACAAGCTGTTCCGTTTGTGGGATTTTGCCTGTTCACGAGGGAACCAAAGAGGCCGAGAAGAGAAAGAATGGGATACAGCCACTAGATGG